GGGGGGGGGGACGCGCGGCTGTGCGAATTGTCTCTCGTGGGTGTGGGATGCAAAGAGGCAGAGGGTGCAGAGAGAATGTGCAACGCAAGAGACCAGCTCTTTGAGGTTGCGAAGTCTGTAGATGAAGGTGGACTGAAAGTGAGCGCTGCTGGGGGGGAAAGAGCTGGGATATGAGTGGATGTACCGGAACGGCTGCTACTTATACTCTGGTATTCGCCTTTTGGTGCGCATGCGAGCCAGACGTGCAGAGTCTGATGCTGAGGCTCATGCTAGGAATTGTCCTGCAAAGATGCGTTCCAAGCGCATCAGAGACTGCTACAGCGCAGCGCAGCGCAGCGCACCAAAGGCTTGCGCTTAGCCAAGGCGACCCAGCAAAGACCTGCAATCGCGAATGCCATCTATCGCCTCAGCCAGTCGTGGCATATGCGTCAGGGCGTAGTCGTATGCTCAATGTCCACCAGTCGTGAGTGAGCGCGACAATCCTCGACTCCGATGCTGGGCAAACCGAGTGGGCGCGCGCGGCATAATCCATGCGATCGAGAATTTCTGCTGGAGGGGGGAGCGGGCGCGCTTGTCGAACGGGGGCTTTGCGACGGCATGATAGCTTCGCAAGCCTCCGACTATGCTTTCATGCTGCTGGATGCAACGAGGGAGATGAAAGGTAATTGTGATCGTATCGTATCGAAGCGCGCTACCTGCTCTGGCGCATGCGCATGCGCATCATGCCTCATCGAGGGGAAAGATGCGTGATTGCGATCGATTGCTCGCTCTCCCGCCACACGCCCCGCGCTTTGCGGCCAAATTCACGATTGTATTCAACATTCAACATTCAACATTCAGCTTGCGCTAATTGTTCCACTCGCACCCGATCACGACGACGAAACTCACGACTTGACTTCAAATGTTGGGTCCCCGCGATCCGCTGCTCACATGTTCCTGTCATGCACGCCCACATGCAGGGACCGGCGGGGCGCAAGCGTGCATGTCAGCCTACGCGCGTGGCAACGCCAATGCATCGCTGCTGCCCGCCCCGCGGGCCATGCATGCAGCGAGTCGCGGTCGGTTGCCGGAAGCGAAGCGAAGCGAAGCCGTCTAAACAAAGTCGAGATGTTTCTGATATATTTGCTTAATTGGGCATTCGTGCCACCGGTCTCAGCCTGCAGCAGCTTCATTTTGATTCCTTAATTCAGTGATTCAAATTGCAACAAAGGACGCTAGCGTGTTTCTTTGCGCGTGTTTTCCCCGCACTCGATCGCGACCCACATTCCCCGCGTACACCACCCGCTGGAGACGGCCAAAGGTGCTGCTTGATTGCTTGTGCGGCCGGCTACTTGTACGCTCAGCACGACTAGTCTCGTGATCAGTCGACATTGACGCTAGCGGGATTTCTTGGACCCTCCACTCTTGGCGATCCCGTTTTGGTGGATGCTGGCTGGACGCAGGCAAATCGCTTATGTGCATGCTTGGTGGATGCTGGCTGGACGCAGGCAAATCGCTTATGTGCATGCCATGGCCGGGACGCATCGTGCCATCCGCATGCGTTCTCATGTACGGCCCAAGTGATCCTGCCTGCTTGCTGGGCAAGCCGAGCTTGGCGCGGGGGGCAGGCAGCGTAGCCCCTTTCGCACCCCGAGGGGATCAGCGGATCAGCGGGTCCAAGGCGGACGACCTCCTTTGGCCCCTGCTGACTGACTTTATTGGACCTTCGGCGACACTTATCAAACTCGCAACAGACGAGCTCTCTGCGTCGGCTCCGAGCGAGAGAGGAAGGATGCTACTGTAGGTACTGACCCCACCCACCTTTTGAGAAATGCTCCGCCGCTTCATGTGGGCCTGCGCAGACTTGACGCTGTTCCTTGCGCTGTTCCGAATTTCAGGGTCGAACTCTGGCGGCGCAGATCATCTGCTGCTGCTGTGCTTTGTGTCTTTTTCTTCTCGCTTTGCAATCGATCATCAGCATCATTCGTGATCGCAATCAGTCAGCCAGCCAGCCAGCGAGGCGTTGTTGGCTAGCTGCGATCAGCTAATCACTCCCTCGCTGCAAGCCACTCACTCGTTCCCCCCCTCGCCAATCTAACAAGACACCTCGAGGCAGAGCACGGGAGAAGGACAAAGCAAGCACACTTCGAGAGTGCAGGACGTCGGTGACTTAATTGCTACCATTGCCCTCGCACCAAGCATCGCCTCGCCTCCCCTCCCATCCGTTTGCAAAGCATCGCAAGCGACGAGAGATCTGAAGAGGATCCAACGATCGGCCCAGGGACAGAACGTGGTATCGATTCGTCGTCGCACTTTGGACGCGGTCCGGGTCCGGGTCTGCGTCTGCGCCTGCGTCCGCGCGAGCAAGAGCCAGCCGCCCGCGCTCCACTCTCTACCGCGAGCCTCATTTCGACGAAGTGCGCCTACATTCATCCCTACGGAAGCAGCACGCGGCGGTGCTGCAAAACAATTTCATCGCCATCGCCATCGCCATCGCAGTGCTGCGATATACGGAAAGCTCTGACTAGACCTGAGCAGACTCGAGACTCACACTCGGGGCCGGCGCAAGTTGCTGTCGCACCACCAACTGTTCAGGCAGCAGCAAGAGACTCAGCTGTACCGAAGGGAGCTTGGCAGTAGCCAATTTGTGGTCGACATTCTTCAACGGGCGGCGTTCGTTGTACACACAACCGCTCGCTCGTGACGCATAGCCCATCCGAACAGCTTCCATCTCGCCTTCCATACAAGTTGTTCTGTGCATATCGCGCAGACACTTTTCCTCCCTCGGATCATCACAGCCTGCGCATACAAGAAGTCTTCTCGACCCATACATACACGCACCCATCCACTACTTCACCCCCGGCAATCACGGCGGCATTGATTCCTGATTCGCTGCAGCTACGCAAAGCATTCTACTCGGCGCCAAGCATCGTCATCGGCTACCGCAGCTTGATTCTGTCATCTTCATCTTCACCGGCCTTGGCCGCTGTAGGGTACATATACGAGCCAGCAACGCTGCTCCTGATTCAGCCTACCCTCGCCACTTTTTGAACCGCCCCCTCCCCTTATCGCCAGCTACAGCGACCTCCTCTTCCCCCCTTTCCCCTCTCTCTCCACGTTTGTCATGCGCTCGTTGAAGCCAAGCTGCGCGATCGCGCTTCTCCTCGGTTTGGCAGCTACTCTCGTACGCGCCGACACGGCAAGCGCGCCTATCAAGACGCAAGACGCTGCTGCTGCTGCTGCTGCTGCTGCTGCTGGTGGTGGTGCAAAGTACGCCTACACGGCAGGGAAAGATGGAGAGGCGCTCTGCAAAGCGCTCGAGACGACGATTGCCAATGTCACCAGCTTGAAGATCAACAACACCTTTGCTCAGTACTATCCCACGGGAAGCAACCCCAGCTTGGAGCTCCTTACCCAACTGTACCCTGCAGGCACGATTCCCAAGAGCGTCAGGGTCGGGCCTATCCTCGAGAGCGTCGGACCAGATATTGACATTACCAAGGATTTTGGTGAGTGGCATGCATGCGGGACAGATGAGACGCTCCTCGTTTATGACTCGCCGGTTTGGGCGCGCATCCATTTGACCATTCTCGTCATTCTTGCTCGCCCGCGGGGGGCCAGGTTACGGCAAAAGCGGCGGCGCTGGAGCCAGAGCTGCAAACAACGGTCCTCTTGGTGGCTTGCCCGCATTTTGCCGCTTCGGCGCCTACATCATCACCAGTCCCGTGACCATTGCCCTGACAGAGGTCTGGCTGCGTGAGTCTGAGTCGAACAACGCATGCCGCGCGCGCCTCATCCAACGCTGACACGGATCCACACCGCCTGGCACTGGCACTGGCACTGGCACTGCAGCCTTGGCCGACGATCCCTCCATCGCTCTTGCGGCGATCAACCAGACAGACTATCCGACTGGTGAGAGAGGAGGACGTGTTGCTGCATCGACTTGATTGCGATGGTCGCGCGCGTGCGCGCATGCTGATCTTTCCGTTGGCCCGCACGGATCGGATCAGACTCGACACCCATCGAGCTGGGACCCAACGGCGAATTCCTCAAGGGTCCGGCCTACCTTCTCGATGGAGACTATGAGCAAGTCATCTCCGAGGATCCCGAGGATTCCCTGGTCGACACTCCTTCGACCAGGGCCACCAAGGGTGTGCCACCGCCTGGCTTCTTTAGCACGGGAGACAAAAAGGACGAGAAAAGGACGGGTGCGATAACGGAAAGCACCAGGGAGTCGGAAAAGCCTCTGAACTCTAAAGGATCTGGCAGCACGACGCAAATCACTGCTCAGAATGAAGGATCTCCCACAATCATCACGACCAGCACCAGTGCCGGTGAGAAGCAGGGCGGATTGCAGTCAGAGACTAGCGTTGAGGGTCGCATTGGAGGCAAACCGTTCAGATATTCCAACAATTTCTCCCCCGACGCAGATGACGACGCGTCAGGCTCCAGAAAGAAGCAGCAGCAGCAGCTGCAGCAGCAGATCAACAGCCGTTCCAGCTCCATGATCCCTCGTCGCGAGTCCGAAGCATGCAATCGCGACCGTCGCAGCATCGAAGCTGCCAAGTGTTCGGAGAAGAACAAGTTCGGTGGCAATGTGAGCAGCAGCAAGAAACATCGTGGCGAGCCTCTGACTGGCGAAGAGCTGCTCGGCTGCTCCGACGGGTGGAACGGTCGAATGCTGTTCATCGGCAACGGGGGTCAGCGCGGCTTTGTGCCCCTGACCGATCTGAAGCAGCAAATGAGCCGTCATCGTTTTGCCGTCGTTGGCACCAACACCGGTCACTTTTCCACCGCCGGCGGCTGCAACTGGGTCAACGGTACGCAGTACGACGACACGCTGCTCGATTTTGGGAGTCGCAGCACGCACGTCAGCAAGATTCTCGCCGAAGAAGTCATCGACGCATTTTACGGTCCCGAAAGCGGTGTGCGCGTGCAGCAGGAAAAGAACAGCAGCAAGAACCACGCCGGTCGAATTCGCGCTTACGCTGCCGGCGCGTCCGTCGGTGGTGGACGCGTGCTGGCCAGCGCTCAAGTCTACCCCGAAGACTTTGACGGTATCCTCACCCTTTCGCCTGCCATCTACTTTAGCGATATGAATAGAGGCCAGGTACGTGGGGGGCTTCGTCGTGGGCGTGGCGTGACGTGGCTGTGCTGCACGGCTTTCTCCGCTCACATCATCCTTTCCCCTCCACTCGCTCCTCTTCCAGATCCACACCCAATCTCGACACCGCAAAAAGACTGCCAAGGATGGATGGTTCAGCGTGCGAAAGCTAGCCGGTCCGGTCAAGGAGGTGATTTTGGACCAGTGCGACAAGCTCGACGGTGTCGAGGATGGTGTCATCGAGTTGGCCAAGGAGTGCAAGCCCGTCTTCGAAAAGGACCTTTTGTGCGGAGCGCCAGGCGCCAAATTCGGAGGCGACATCAAGACTTGCCTGAACCAGACGCAAATCGACAATCTCTATGAGCTCTACCGTCCAACTCTTGTCGAGGAAAAATTCGTCTACGATCGCTACCTGCCAGGCATAGAGCAGCGCGCCAACAGTCTGACTGGAGCTGCCAAGAAAGCAGTGGACTGGACTCAGCTCGCCATCCTCAAGTTTCCCCACCTCGACCCGTGCTGGGACGGCTACGGCGTGGGCATCAACGCCACAGGCTCCGACTACACTTTTGCAGTGGTGGAAAAGGGTCGTCGAGAGGACCCAGGAGGCGTCAACAACGACGACCCTGACCTGTCCAGATTTCTCAAAGCGGGCAAAAAGATGATTCACACGCATGGTCTGGCCGATATCACCATCAGTCCTCTTGCGAGCGAGCGATATTACCAGCAAGTCCTCAAGACGGTCGGGTCCAAAGGCATCGTTGCGCAGGACGGCTACCTCTACTTTGAAGTTGCTGGCATGTCCCATGTTCGTGATGGAAGAGGTCCTTGGCACTACGGTCAGATCACTGCCAATGATGCTGGTAACCGTCCACTCAAGGTGCGTCGTGCTTGCCATTCACGGTTGACGAGCCCGGTCTGATCTCTACGTCGACCACGTTTGCCAGTGGGATAGCGAGTACGACATTTTGCTCTCCCTCGTCAAATGGGTCGAGACTGGAGACGCGCCAAAGTATCAGGTGAGTCCCGGTGAGAGATCACCCCAAAGCCTGCTTTCGTTTTGGAAATTTTTTGACACGAATGCGTGCGCGCTTGCGGAACAGATCGGCGCAGCGTACCACCAGCGCGGTAGAATCATCCCGCCCAGCAACGACGATCTCAACCGCAGCAGCAGCAGCGAACCGACTTGCGAAAAGAAGACGGACAGCGCCGGCGCCCTCACCGCCCTTCCTACAGACAAGCAAACGACGGCGGCTGATGGCGGCGGCGGCGGCACAGCAAGCACCCGTCGCGCCCTTGACGCCCTTTTGCGTCGTCAAACAGCCACTTTAGCTTCCACTCCGAGCACTTCCCAAAGCTCCGAGAAGAAGACGAAGGAAGAGACTCTCGACGCTGGCAATGGCGACGAAAAGACGACTGAAAGGACTGCCGATACGGGAGCCGGTGACACGAAGCCGTCCGACGATGGCCAAATCACCAAGTCGACTACGAACGCTAATGGAGGTGAGAGACCGTCTGGCAAGGAGAAGGTATCGGATCCGTCCCTTGGCGGAGCCGGATCCGAGAAGCCTGAAGGCAATGGCAAGACGACGGATGCGGGCACAAGCGGTGCTGCTGCTGGTTCCGATAAGCCTGCCGAATCGACCAGCGACGCAACTCCCGCCACCGGCGACAAGAAGGAAAAGAAGCTGAAGAACCCCTACACCGACACGATGCTGGTGAGCGAGCGAGGGCCTCTAGCAATGATCTGCGCGCGCAAAAACAAGGCACACGCTGATATTCAGATCGCCCCCTTTCCCATGCCCACGTTCTGCAGTTGCCCACCGTCTTTGCCAGCTACGAGTACGGTGTGCTGTTCACCCGCCCACTTTGCCCCTACCCAGGTCGCGTCGTGTACAATGGCGGACCGACGAACGGCAAGGATGCTTACAAGAGCTTCTCTTGCAAGTTGCCTTGAGAGACACTCTGCGTCTCTTTTTCGCTGCCCCCCTAGACCGCACATCACGTCACAGAATCGCACGCTCCGAATCCAATTCGATTACCCTGTTCCTTTACCGCCCGCGAGGCCATCGCTGCGTATTCTGAACGTGATGATGATGATGATAGTAATGCATTTGCTGAGTCTTGCCAAAGCAACAGCAGATCGTGTAAAGCGCGCGCGCGCGCGCTACATGGGGAAGGGATGCCTGGTACGTGATCACGAGCTGCGGACATACAGAGACCGGAAGAGCTTCTCCAAGCCAACAAAGCGCCTGCCCGACCGCTGGAGGTACTTGTCGACGATGTTGTAGAGATGCGCGAGCTCCTTGGCGCTGATCGTGGAGCAAGCGACGACATCGGCATGATTCGCACGACCTTTGGAGTTTTCGCGACACCTGTCCGCATCGAACAAGGAGGACAAGAAGCACAGCTGAGTGTAGAGCGCCTTATCGCTGTACTTTAGCTCCGTCTTGCCACGACATCCCGACACCAGACATCTTCGCGCATACACTCCAGCCAATCGAGTGACGGCGCCGCAAGTCGGTTCGGTGCAGACGCTCCAACCCTCGTAGAAGCGCGCAATGTACTGCCTGATCTGTTGCTCCAGCTGTATGGCCAGGCTTGCCAGGCCAAAGGATGCGCAGCAGCTTTCGTGCGTGCACGCGATGCCCGTGCGTTGCAGCATGCCGTTGGAAGCCATCAAGCCTTCAAAGGTAGAATGTTGACCGCAGCTGGAGCACTTGAATCGGAGCGCTTCGCAAGAGGCAAACTTGACTTCGTCTGGAACTTGGCTGTCCAGGGTGCTAAATTCCCTGCCTGCTCCGCTCTCAGCAGCAGAGGTGGTGTGCGAGGCGTAGCGAGAAGCATCGAGACCTAGGCACTCTGCTAGACGCATTCGATCCGTGCCTTCAATATTCTCGCACAGCCTTTCGATTGGCGGCAAAATCTGGAGAGCCAAGTAGTGCTCAAAGTCGATCTTTAGCGTCGAGCCTTGCCTTCTGAGATCGTTGGGACTAAAAGCTCGATCGGCTTGCGCAGATTTGGATGCGCTCGAGCCGTCTTCCCCGAGACAAAACACGTAGGGAATGACGTCTCCTGCACGTGCGCTCTCACCCTTTTCGATTGCTCGCAACGCGACCTTGACGTGAGGCAGGGCGACGCTAGGATTGTACTCGGAGGGATTCTTGCCTAGTTGCTTGTAGATGATGTAGTCTTCCAGGTCTATCTTGGATTCGCGTACCTCATCTCCAATCTGGCAGAGGTATTCGTGGATCTTGGCGACGACCGTCTCGGTTGCCTCGCCCGACAGAATTTGCTCTAGGACGTAGCTGCAAGACGAGGCGAGAGGATGTCAGCCAATCAAACATGTCCAAGAGCCGGCTTCTCGACACTCACTTGGAAACATTTTTTGCGAGTGCGCAGTACTCTCTTCGCTTCTGATCCAACCCCTTGACCTCCGTGCTCGTCTTGGCACCATTATCCTCCACCTTGATAGCAGCATACTTTTTCTTCTGAACGAGCAACATGCGCTGGAAGACACCATCAATGTCGATCTCGAGCAGACGATACCTCTCATTGACCTTTTTCCTAAACTCTGCACCGATACGCATAGCTTGTGCCAGGTCCGTCGCGTTCGTGTTGATCATGACCGAGTCGGTGTCTCCGTAGATGACGTCTAGGGATAGAGACTCTGCCAGCTCCTTGGTGGCCATCAGCACCTCTCGACCTTTGAAAGTGGTCAAAGCAGCCAACGGCCGAGCGTAGAATCGGCTCATGTCGAAGCCGAGACAGCCGTACATCGAGTTGGCCGTGAGCTTGAGAGCTAATTGCTTGATATTCCACTGAAGCTGTTGGGCTGGGCTTGCGCGAGTGTCTTTCATGAGACTCTTGACCCCACGCCGACGAGCAACGAGAGTCGCGATGAGCCGAGGAAGAACGCCCTGAGCCACGTCTGAGGAAGGCAGCTCGGGCAACTGGTCCACATCTGCCAGGTTCGCATTGCATTCAGCCCGGTCGACCGTAGTAAAGTCGATGTTGTACTCTTGGATGATGGAAGGGTACAGAGAGTTGAAGTCCATGACCAGAATGTACTTGTCGTACAAACCCCGCTTAGGCTCAAAGACCAGACCTCCCTTGAATTTCTGCTGCTTCGAGGTGACTTTGCCAGCATTCGCTTCCTCCTCGCCCTCTCCAGCCGCCCCGTCATGATCGGCCTTCGCCGCAGCTTTTTTCTTCTCCCAGGTGGACGAGAAGGCAGGCTTGTCCGGACAGATGTACTTGTGCCGATGAAAGTCGTGCAGCAAAATGTAGTCGTTGCGCTCTGCGCGACCTCCATTGAGACACCTGGCCCAAGAATTACCAGCCAGGTTGGTGAGCTGCTTTGTGAGCGCCAGGATCTGCACCTTGCAAGCGAGCGCCATCTGCAGAAAGGCATCCACCTCGCAATGTCTCACAAAAGTGAGCAGTCGAGCAGGTGACGGTGCCAACGAATCGAAGAAAGCAGCCGTCTCGTCCGGATCCACATCCTCCCTTTGCGTCTTCAGATGGGTGGCGCACATCTCAGTCAGGGACCAGGTGACGGAGGGGATGATGCCTTTGGCGGTTTCGCTGGCCAGGTCGCACACCAATCTTCCAGCTACGAGAGCCAGCTTGTATCCTGCACGAATGGTGGGCATGCGTGCTTTTCTAAAACGGCCGATGCGGGACCAGTGATCCGCCTTGAGCTCTGCGATGCGCTTGAGGAGGACGTCTAGAAAGACGCCAGAAAATTCGTGAGATACGATAATGTCCGGGTCCTGCAGGTGAATTTGAGCCAGCAATTGATTCAAGAGCATCCGTTCGTACTTGACGGCCACGATGCGCGTCCGCCCAGCTTTGGCTTCTGCTTCGAAGCCGTTGGGAAACCTTTCGCCCAAAGGTCTAACCACTGTGAACAAATTGCTCTCGAGCTCTTCGGGCGGTGTTGGGTCCTCCAGCTGCATATCCCGCCAAGTCTGCGCAGACACGCAGACAACTTCCCTCTTATTCGCTTCGTGATTCATCACTGTCCTGCCTGCCAAGCTCATGACGGTGACGGGAGGTGCTTCGCGAGGTGCAGTCTCGTCGTCATCCTTGAAAGGGCTGACCGACTTTGGCTCATCCACTTGAAATTCGATCTTCGTCCAGCTGAGCTCGGGTCCATCTATGCGGATTTGAGCATCTCGCACATTCAGCCAGCAAGGTCCCATGATGCCTCGCTTGACGACGAAGAGCTCGAATGCGTTTGTCGCGGTGCCAAAAGCGCGGCTAAACGTCGCACCAGAGATATCCGCTGGAAGCTCTGGCTCGTCAAAGCCATACTTGATCTTGAGGTACTCCGTCTCTACGGGCACGCCAGGCACCTCGAAGGCGTACTTGCGCGTGACCCACTTGGCAAGGAAGTTCTTGATACCGTACTTGCTTCGCATATTGTCGAATTCGTCGTACACTTCGTCCTCGTCGCAGCGAGTACCGTCAAGCTTCACCTTGGGCAGCAGATAGACGCAACGCTCCACGCCTTGCACATCCAGCGTAGCGCTGACGTACTTGCCCGTATCGCGATTCTTGACTTTGCCCGTCAAGAAGACGCTGCCTTGTTGCTCGACCCAGTCCAACCAGTAGAAGCGAACACTCCTGCCATCGCTCTCGAAAGCATTGATAGTCTTGGTAGATGCAGGTGTAGCTGGCGTGCTTGGCACTGTCGCGCTGCTCTTGCCTCGAGCCGCAGCTGCTGGCCGACTCGGCGCTGGCGTGTCGGGGGCAGGCGCAGAGGTGACCTTGCTGAGCTTCGCACCGACATTCTGCCAAGAAGTGTGGGGCGTAGAAGGGGGCTGAGGCTCGTCGAGGTGCGCTACGTGGGGCGCCACGGGTTTGCTGTGCGGAGTCGCAAGGGCCCGCTTGGCTGCTACATTCACGATGGGTGCCCTCGCGCCAGCCTTATTGGTCCTGATAGAGAATCCGTCATCGTCATCGTCATCTTCATCTTCTGCATCCCCATCAACGTCCATCATGGCTGGTGCGGCCTGCACGTGCAGAGAGATCGCGTTGACAGACTGAGGCAGTCCTGCAGCTGCCTTGGTAGATTTTGGGCGTTTGTGAGCGGGCAAGCCGTGATGCTCTTGATCCTCGTTGACAACCGTGTTCCAGGGGGGAGAGTCGCTGCCAGAGATGTGCACCTGAGCTCCGGGCATTAGATCTGCGAGCTCGGGTGGATCTGATGAAGGAGCTCCGCTGCTAGGGCTGCTCTCTCGCGCAGCAGAGCTGGGGCGAAATGCGCCAAAGTCGCCACGAGGACGCTTGCGAGCCTGATGATGCTGTTGCTGAGGGGGCGCGAGGGACACTCTGGAAGCGGGACTGGGAGTCGGGGGCTCGTTGCCGGGTTGAAGGCCGCCGATGAGCCTTTGCATAAAGTCTTCCTCCTTTTCAGTCGTACGCATGGTAGGCCTGCTGCTGCTGCTGTCACCCAGAAAGGCAGAGCGAGCGCCGAGCGTGGGTCGTGCTGGCTTTTTCCGAGCAGAAGCAGCTTGATTGGTGTATGCGGATGCGACGGGTGTCTTCTTGGCCGCGGCATTAGCAGCAGCTTTTGTGCCCTTTTTGGGCTTGCGCCTGCCAGTCCTCTCGTAGTATTCAGCCTCATCCTCCGTATCCGAATCGTATGCGCCTCCCTCCTCGTTCTCAAACACGTCACGTCCATCATCCATGTAGCCGCCTCCATCGTCATCTTCGATGAAGTCATCCTCCATCATGCGACCGCGAACCGCGCTAGCATACTCATCCTCTGACACCTCATCGTACACGCGGTCAGAGTCGGACTGAGGGGGATGTGAGAGTGGATGCCGCGTCAGTGCAGCTTGTATGCGGTGTCAACCGAACAGCATCTCATCCTCTACTCACGCCGTCCGAAACCTTGCTACTGGTTGCTGCACCACCACCACTACCGCCACCACCACCCTCTCTCTTTGCCTTGAGTCTAGCCAAGGCGGATCTAGCTGCGGCCTTTCTGCTGCTCATGGTCGTGCAGTCTGTAGGGCTACCGTTGTGTACTCGTAATCAGCGCGCCGCGCCACCCGACCCAGTGAGATGAGAGTCAAGCTTTGAAGGCGTAAAGGACAGAAGAATCTGTGGGTTGGGATGAGGGATCGCGGAGCTTTGGGTCGAGGGAGAAGAGACGAAAGGTGAAGGTCAAAGGTGCAACTCAGTCGCGAGCCAAGAAGCGCGTTTGGTACGCGTGTTGGTCGCTGAACACGCGCGTAGCCGTGGCCGTGTGCACGCTGATGCATGAGCGAAAGTCGACGCGCGCGTCCGCACACGCTTTTGGCCTGCCACCGCGTGTACGTGTGTGCTCTTTACGCGTCGCGTCGCGCGTCAGTTTTGCCTCCGCCCGCGCACGGATGATGGCGCGCCACCATGCAACACAGTGACGAATGTTCGTGACAGGCGGTGGCAGTGTCATCGTCACTCGGCATCATCAGCGTATTCGCTCGACAGCAGCCCGCATCGCGCCGCAACTTTGGTGTGTTTGCGTTTCGCGCTGTAGTTGTCGAGAGGTGCTCGAAAGGCTCGTGGGCTCCGCAACGATTGCCGATACAGTCACGAGTACAGTAGCGACGATAGATCCTGGCGCCGCTGATGCAAATCGACCCGTGGCTTTGGCAAAGTGTGTCCCTCTCGCAGCACGCCAGTATAGCTTGTAACAATCTGTCGCGCGGAGCTGGGGAGGGGCGCATCGAACAAAGAGGCAAGACTCTTCAAGCTCACACGCAAGACCGCGCATTCGACGACAGGGAACCTATGCATTGATGCTTGCCCGGACCACTGGCATCGCATCGAGCACACCCTTCCGATCGACCTAATCGCCCCCCGTAGACTGATCCCTTTCCCTCTTGAATTTCGCCACCCACTTGCTTTCCTTTTCACCAGCAGGCAAGACGACGAGGGAGATCATGCCATCGCGCAAGATCATCCCGTCCCTCTTCATCTTCTTTTGCGCGTCTTCCTCTCTCGCAGTCAAATCAATCATCTCTCTCAAACTTCTCCCTCTTCCAATCTTGAACAAGCGTCTCGCCTTTGTGCTCGCATACACCCTCAAATTATCCGTCCTATACTCGCCCGAGCTATCCCATGGTAGCGCTTCGCCACCTGGTGGGAACATGCGATCCAAATATTCCCCCAGCGGCACATCTTCTTGGTAATCAGAGATGAAGTCGCTCCTCTCTTCTGCCGGATAGAGCAGAAAGACGGGGAAGATGATGGGCGTACGGATAAAGTCGGCTGGCTGATAGGCGGTGTTGGCTTCGCCGTTGGATGTGACAAGAGGCAAGGAACTCGACGGCTGGGCTTCGAGATCAAAGTGTGCCGGATGCGGGTTGTCGGGCGGCCGAGAGGATGTCTCGATCCACAAGCCTCGAGCCTGTAGCCGAGCAAACACCCAACAATCAGTCCACAAATCATTGTCTGTGGCCGAACAAGGACGCGAAGAGAGCACATCGCGCCTCACGCCTTTCGAAACTCACCAGGAACCCCTTCAAAAGCGCTTCCTTGTCCAACTTTTCCCTCCTCCCCCTCTCCTTCTTCTCGTTTTCCCTTCTCTTTCTGCTTTCATCCCTCTTCACAATCTTTTCCCTCAAAGCATTCAGTCCCGCCTTTTCGCTCTCCACTCCAAGGGCCAGCGCGTGGTCGCAGCAATCCACAGCTTCGGTCGTCCGATCCAGTTGGAGCAGCGCGCGGGAAGCGCGGTAAAAAGCTTTGGAATTGCGCGGATTGAGAGAGAGGACTGCCGAAGTGTCCCGCAAGACTGCTCCGTAGTTCTCTGGGAGCATACACGGGGGTGTCCATGGTCCTGGTCAGCGACAGCACGGCGTGCCGGAACGGGTTGAACGAACGACTCACCGAGTTCGAGGTTGCAAGCCGCTCGATTTCCCAAGCACGCTTCCCTGAGCGACGGATCCGTCGGGTTCGCGTCCAACGCCTGCGTAAAGAATCCCGCCGCTTCCCTAAACCTCTTTCCCTTGAAATAGTCTGTCCCTTGCGATTTAAAGTTCTGCGCAATCTCTGCATGCACAAGCCAGAAGATTGGTGATCAGAGGCACAGCGTGGGAGGCGTAATATGCCCGCCCACACACACGTCAACTCACCATCCGGCTCCCCATCAAAGGCGAGACTCTTGAGCGCTTCCAGCGCAGTGTTCTCATCCTCGCCCTGCTCATCCCCCTTGACCTGCCTCATGAACAGCGGCATCTCGTCGAATCCTTGCATATGACTCTTCAAGTCCCTTTGTGCCGGGTCAGGTCCTGCCGTATGATCCTCTTGCTCGCCTGCATTCGCGGACGCTACGGAAGACAAGTGTGGGTTGTGCGACCCATCGGGCACGCGGGTCGGCTTGGATGAGGTGGAAGCGCTGGATGGCGCCTGTCGCTCCACCTTTGCCGGCAGTTCCTCCAATCGTGCCATTCTTGCGCCTGATTGTATGTAGTTTGGCAGATCGCAGGTGATGTAGTCCCAAACGACGAGGAGTTGTAGTGGTGCAGGTGATGGTGATGGAGAGGTGGAAGCTGCCACGTCCAGACCTCCCCCCACCTCCACCGCGTGCATGAGAAGCAATCTGAATCAAAATCACGAATCAAAATTTGAATGGAGCTCAAAGTCCTCTTTGCTTTGGTGTCCTGCACACGTGACTCGAGTCATCTCCGCGGACTTGCGTAGATCAAGCACTGCCGCACGCACGCACGCACGCATGGACGGGATGGGGTGTGCGGTGACTGCAGCCAAATTTGTCTGCATGCCATGTACCGTACCGGTATATATGCAGTCAGAGTCACGACTCACGCAAGTGATTGTTCGCACACTCTGACCCTCACGGCCCACACACAACACATCGCATCGCATCGCATCACATCACACTCACATCCCGTTCACCTTTCATCGGCATCCTCGCGTCATTCGGCGATTTGATTCGATCCTGGTCAGCGTGGCATCTCACACAGCATACCGGTCCCCCCCCTCACCTTTCATCGGCATCCTCGCGTCATTCGGCGATTTGATTCGATCCTGGTCAGCGTGGCATCTCACACAGCATACCGGTC